CCCTAAGCCGCACCACTGAGCTGCAGGATGAACTAAGCCACTTGCGCAGCCAGATTGCTAAAATAGTGGCAGCAGATGCAGGTAGGAGCCCCACTGAGGATGTGGCATAGCAGGCTGTCCTTTCCCCTGCCCCTGGTTATTGAGCAAGACAAGGATGAGAAAGATTATAGTCTGATTCAGGAAGACTTAGGCCTAGGGCTCCAGAGTTGACCCGAGGCCCAGATATCCTGTAATATTTTTTAGAAGATGTCTACTAGTCATTTATTGATTGGTTTGATTAGGAACAAAATTTTAACCAGTGACACTGAGGAAATTTCTTCTCTAAGCCACAAAACCTAATACCCCCTTTCTAATTGTCATTAATATCACATATCCCATGAACCCAAAGAGCTCACTTTTCAATATAAGCATTTCTCAACAGCACCATGAGACATAGCCCCTTAATTACCTATCTCCCTCTAATTGTCTTTTCTACCAGAGAATACTTCTCAATGCAGCTTTCTGCATACAATTAAGGCAGAGCCTTAAACAGGAGAGGAGCCTGCCTTAACCAGAGGCATAGACAATTAACCTCCCCCCAGTGGCTCAAAAGACATAGCTCCTAAACACTATCAGCTAGTAGAGCACATACATAAAAGTTATAGTGTGTGGGGTAGTAAGATGGCTCAGCAGGTAAAGGCACTTGCCACCAAGCCTAACTACCTGAGTTCCATCCCTAGGACCCACATGGTAGAGCAAAGAACAGACTTCTGAAAGTGTCCTCTGACCTATTCTGTGGTAAACCTATACCCATACACATACAATAAATAAATGCAGTATTTTTTCAAAAATAAAATTGAGCCATAGACTATGAAAAACCAGTATCATTTCTTAGGAACTCTGAAGACTTGTCTCAGTTAAAACTGGGGAGTTCTGTCAAGAACACTTGAAGCTCATAGATAGAAGAATTCAAACTATCAACTTGTAACACTGTCACAATCGAGAAAATGACAAATGTAGGAACTGCAGGCCTTGCTTGGCTTCAGTTTAGAACAGGGCTGCCAACCTGTAGTTCACTGTGCATTGGGAGCATTTAGGACTCTTGACTGTGTGGGACAGGGTTTTCTGTCTTGAACACGACAAGAGCCAGTGCTTTTCTGCTTACCTGGAGCCCTCAGTGGGAAGTAGAGTGGGGAAGGTTCCCTTGGGGACATCCCTCCCTTAGCACTCTAGGAATGTCATGATGTGGGTTCAGGAAATGAGTGTGTTCTGTAGGCGGTGTTTGTGAGAAGCTTCATGGCAGCCCAGTGTCCATTACATCTATTGTTTTCTCTTTCAGCTTCGTCTTCATTAACGCCAGATTTCTTATCTCCAGGAAGTTCAAATGTCTCTTCTCCTTTACCTTGCTTTGGATCCTCATTCCACTCTACAACTTCCTTTGTCATTAGTGACATCACTGAGGAGACTGAGGGAGAGGTCTCTGAGCTTCCAACAATTCCCCTGCTTTGTTCTGCCAGCCCTGAATGTTGCAAACCAGAACACAAAGCTACCTGCAGCTCATCTGAAGAGGATGACTGCATCTCTCTGTCTAAAGCCAGCAGCTTTGCAGACATGATGGGCATCCTGAAGGATTTTCACCGGATCAAACAGAGCCAAGACCTGTGAGTATCTGATAAGAGCTCTGGTGAGCTTGAGTCAGAGTGGCTAATGAGGAGTAATTGTTACTACATTCACAAAGCTTGCTGACTGACTAGGGCCTAGTTTGAGGAAAAAACAAGAGCCTCCAATTGTTCTGTTAAGTCACCTCAACTGTTAAGACTCAGCAGCTAAGGGGCTGTAGAGAGCATGGCAATTAAGAGCACTGACTGCTCTTCCAAAGGACCTAGGTTTAATTCCCAGCTCACAACTGTCTAACTCCAGTTCCAGGGGATCTGGCACCCTCACACAAATATACACAGGCAAAATACCAATGCACATTTAAAACAAAACAAAACAAAAAACCCCATCTCAGTAGCTTTTTAATTTGCATACTGCTAGCTACCATATTTCAACATGCTCTGCCCTTCAAAGTTAGGAACTAGTAGACTTTTTGGTGGAAGAATTTCATAAAGATTTTATTTTTAAATAAATAGCTTGAGGCTGGGAAGATAGCTTGGTGGTTAACGAGCAAGCACATACTGCTCTTGTAGAGGACCCAAATTTGATTCTCAGTAGCCATAGTACAGCCGTCTGTAATCCAGCTCCAGGGGATCTAACACCCCAGCTTCTGCAGGCACTTGCACTCATACGATACTCTGTAAGATAAAACCTTCAAGTTCTGGGACTTGAGAACCCAGCGGGTTTGTTTTGTTTTGTTTTGATTTTGAGAAGGGTTTCTCTCTGTGTAGCCCTGGCTATACTTGAACTTGCTACATAGACCAGGCTGGCCTTGAACTCAAGAGAGCCACCTGACTCCAGAAGTGCAGGGACTCAAGGCACGTGCCCCCACACCCAGCCTGAGAGCAAGGTTTTAAGATTCATAATTAGTTCTTAAATCTGGCTGCCCATTAAACTGCTCAGATTTGGAGCTTTGGTTGGTCTTTTGAGTCAAGGTCTTACTGTGAAGCCGTGGCTGGTCTGGGACTTGCTTTGGAGAGTTCTGCCTGCCTCTGCCTCCCAAGTACTAGGGTCAAAGGGCAAGGGTCACTACACCCGGCCCAAATTTGTACACAGCAAACTTACCAAATCAGAATGCTCAGGGAATGGAGCTGTAGTTGCCTTATGCTCAAATCTAAGGGAATTTGGACAGGCCAAGTTGGAAGCAAGGCCATTCTCTTGAGCCCCTCGGGAAGCTTCCTGGTAGAAAAGCTCTAGAACTGCCTGAGGGAGCCTGCACTTTGCAGTTTCTCCAAATGTACTCTGAGCCACTCCACGGGAGCTTGCTTTTGGGTGCCTTAGTTGGAGATTGGCTTTGATAGCAGGTGGCCAGTATAGCTGTCCTTGTTAGTGCTGGCCAAGAAACTATCCTGGTCACTGTTCTTCCTGTCTGCCCCATAGGGGCTCCTAGATCTCTCATTTCCCCAAATCCAGCTGCTGTCTCACCTTATTTTCAGTTGGCTTTGTACCTTTTCCTCTTGTAGTCAGTGTTGTAAAACATGCCCCTTGTCTGTCTCTCTGTAACTCAAGCTGGTCTTAAACTTAAAATCCTTCTGCCTCTGCTCCCTGAGTGCTGGAAATGCAGGTGTTTGTCACCAGGTCACTTTCTACTACTTGGCTTCTTTTTCTTTTTTCCTTGAGACAGGGTTTCTTTGTGTAAAAAGTCCTGGCTGTCTTAGAACTCGCTTTGTAGACCAGGCTAGCCTCGAACTCACTGAGATTCACCTGCCTCAAGTGCTGGGATTGAAGGTGTGCACTACCACCTTCCAGCCTGTTACTTGGCTTCTTAGACCAAATCATATCCAAAATTTTTACTAAATCTCTCCCATGTGTGTCCTGGCCTCTTTTTCTCTGACTAAGACTGGCTCAGCCGGGCCAGCTAAAGTTCAGACATATGAATCAGTCTTGGTGTTTGTGTATTGCCTCCAAGACCCATAAAACACCTTCATGAAATGTGTAGAAGCTAATAGCTTCAGACAACTAATTTTTAGAGCATTCAGGACCCTCTTGTGTGATAAATGTATGCTTACACTAGAGTTCATTTGGTTCCCACAGTTCCTTATAATATAAATGTTTTACTATTTTTATCTATTAAGGAAAGATGGTGGTAGGTTGTCTTGTCTCCAGAACTAGTAAGGATCAGAATGGCGAAGCCATCAGTCACTTACTACAGACCCTCTTGAGAATAGATCAGAACTCCAAAATATTGATGGGCCTTCATTTTACCCTTTTTTTGTAGCCATGTAAGAAACAGGCATTCCGGGCTGGAGAGATGGTTCAGTGGTTAAGAGCACTGGCTGTTCTTCCAGAGGACCCAGGTTTAATTTCCAGCACCCATGTGGCAGCTCTCCAATTCCAGGGGATCCAACACCCACATACAAATGTGCCCATAAAATAAAATATTAGAAGGAAATCAAGAAACAAGTATTATAGGTGCTGAGGAGATGGCTCAGTGGTTAAGAGTACTGGCTGCTCTTCCAGAGGTCCTGAGTTCAGTTCCCAGCAACCACATGACAGCTCACAACCATGTATAATAGGGTCTGATGCCCTCTTCTGGCATACAGTCTTATGTACATGCAGACAGAGCACTCATACATAAAATACATTTAAAAAAAATACATTCTAGTTAAGAGAAGATGGGCTACAGAAACAGCTGGTTTTAAAGGCCAGAGATTGACTGTGACTCCATGTCTCTTGTGTGCTGAATTTTCCCATAAGTGTGGGAACATGTACTGGCAACTGCTTCACAGAATAGCTGTGAAGATTCAGGAGGCAAAAAGTGCACAGAGAAGCCAGGCGTGGTGGCACACGCCTTTAATCCCAGCACTTGGGAGGCAGAGGCAGGAAGATCTCTGTGAGTTTGAGGTCAGCCTGGTCTACAGAGAGAGTTCCAAGAAAACTAAGGCTGTTACACAGAGAAACCTTGTCTCAGAAAAAAAAAAAAATGCACATAGAGCACAACCCAGAACAGAGCAATTACTTCCTAAATAGTTCTTGCTGTGTCTCCAGAAGCCGGAGTTTACTGAAGGAAGAAGACCCTGCTGTGCTTATCTCCGAGGTCCTTAGGAGGAAGTTTGCTCTGAAGGAAGAAGACATCAGTAGAAAAGGAAACTGACAGCACTGACTGCAACCTCAGTCTCATGCTCCTGACTCCTTCAATAGCTGCCTTTCTCACTGCAGATGTCTCTGCCTCCGTTAGAAGTTTGCAAGTGTCTTGCCAACAAGCTAGGGCTTGGGCTAGAAGAGAAGAGCTGGATTATGTGTTACTTGCACTTAAACCTTGACAGAAGCTAAGGTCTGTGGTTTGAGTTGAGGCATTTATTACAGGTAATTGGGTAGGGTGGATGTCTGTTTAAGAGGTGAAGTTTCTTGTTTTTCCTAGTCTCTGCGTGAAAATAGGCCCTAAATGAATGACTCCGTTCACTGCATTAGACTCCATAATTGGTCTACTGGACACTTTGTGCACAGCTGTCATTCAGCAGCTTCCTTGCAGCACCACAAGGTTAAGGGGGAGTGGCTGTTTATGTTCATGTTCACATTCACGTTCACAGGGACGAACTTATGCTGCTCCATCAGAACCCACACCAGTGCCCAGCAGTCACCTTTTCCTCTAGCTATGGCACTCAGGCCACTGGACCAGCCAATAGTTGGCTGCTGCAGGGAGGCCTGGGCTATTTTTTCTTAAACATATTTTATAAAACTACAACCAGATCTACCCTCCAGGGCCTCAGCAGTTTTACTGAGTGAAATTATTTTCTTCCATGGACTTAAGTCTGGGAAGGAGAATTGGGGAGAGAAAAGTGCATACTATCCTTCTAGGACAATAACTGATTTCTCTGGGTTGGGCCAAGATTTTATTTTCTGCATCATGCATGACTCAGGTGCCCTCAGGGCCCTTTTCTCTATGAATACTGCGTGTCTGAGTTGAAGTACTACCTGATATTAAATGAAGGATTTGGAGAAATGGTGCATTTTCTTTATCACCGAGTTTTGACCACAGTGGCCTTTGGAGAGGACTCCTGTTAATTGTAAGGTATATGAGCTTTCTTAAACAGGCTCCTGACTTACTTTCTTGCCGTCAGGACAGTGGTTCTCAACCTTCCTAATGTTGTGTCCCTTTAATACAGTTCTTCATGTTGTGGTGAACCCCCCCCATCATAAAATTATTCTGTTGCTACTCTATACTGTAAGTTTGGTACTGTTATGAATCATAATGTAAAGATCTGATATGCAGGATACCTGATACACGAACCCAAAGGGGTCGTGACCCACATATTGAGAACCACTGCATTAGGAGGAAGTTTCCTGGGGCTGAAGAAATGACCCAGAGGTCAAGATCATTGGTTGCTCTTCGGAGAACCAGGTTGAATTCCCAGCACCACATGGCTGTTCAGTCATTTGTTCCTCCGGTCCCACAGGGATCTGACACTCTTCTGGTCTCATAGGTACCAGGCTCACGTGAGGTAAACAGAGAAAACACCCAGACATTTTATTCTAAAGGGTTTTGTCCTCCTTTCCATAGAAACCTCATAGCCCACCCCCACAGTTACACTTCCTCCAATAAGACCACATCTACCCCAACAACGCCATACCTCCTAATAGTGTCACTCCCTTTGCGGCCATTTTCTTTCAAACCACAGTGTCATTCTAGCTCAGGCTGGTTGAGTATTCCCTACATGGTTGTGAGTTGGCCTTGAACTCATGGAAATCCTGTCTTCTAAGTTGTCATACCCAGCTAAAAGTTACTTTTTGAATTATCACTAGATCCAGCTTCAGTTTTCCGAAAGGAACCTTCTTCCGGTGGGTGGGGGGGTGTAATAAAAAAGCTAGGTTATTACAAAGCTCAGATTTGGGGATGGGAAGATACAGCAAACAACTTGTTTTTAACTGATTTCATGTGTGCCCAGTGCCTGCAGAGGTCATGTGGATGCTGGGAACTGAACCTGGGTCTTCTACAGAGGTAGCAAATGCTCAACAGCTGAGCCATCGCTCTAGTTCCAGGTCAACAATGTATATAGTTAACCATTAAAAAGAAAAAAGGATTATTTGCCCTCCCACCAGCTCCACACACCTGGGTTAGGGAGGAAGACATCTCTTAAAATGTAGTTGGGAATAATGGTCCCAAGCTCTTGCTTGAGTGGTCCAGCCAGAGGTAAAAAGAACATATCTGTAAGAAGCAAAAAGAGTCAAGCCTCTGGAAGAATAGTAGCAACTCTGAACTGAGAAGTGGTTTCAGTCAATAGTCCTGTCCTACTGTCCCTGTTGGCATCCATCCATGGAATGCACCAGTCACCTTCCTGAGAGAAAAGCATGTCTACCACATACTGCTTGCTTTATTTACATGAGCACAACGTTCCATAATGACAACCACTTCAGCCCACATGGTCTCTCACCTAAACCCTCCTCTACTGTACGTTCCTCCATCTCTGCCACTTCAAGGTACACCCACACAAACATTTAAAACTAGTGTCTGATAACCCGATTACCTTCAGAGTCCTGGGTAAAGAGCAGGTTTGGCTGCAGCTGTAACAGAGTAGGCTCTTCTTGGCACAGAGCCTGAGGGCTGTCCAGAAATGGCCCTGAGCCTTGACTCCTATCATTGGTTATATCTTGCAAAGGCATTTTAGTGTTGTGGGCAATGACCTGCTGGCCTTGGGAATCCTCAGTGAAAAGCTGACTCCAGGAGTCCCTCTCATTCCTTTCACTATCCCAGGGAAACACAGAAAGAAGAGGGCTTTTTGCCACTGACAGCGGTTTTTTGCTACTCCAGGATTCTAATCTGTAAGTTGGAAGATGCACAGGGGCCTGCCTGTTTTCCTTGGCAGTCCCTTTTTCTCCCAGTTCAGCTTTGTCCAAGGGCTGATAGCATTTACTCCCAGACGGTCTAATGTGGCTTCCCATGCCTGGACATTTTGTCTTAGGTCCATGAAGCCATTCCCTTTTCTTCCTGGCCTCTCTTTGGTCCAGCAAACAATAACCATCCATGTCCTGGGTAAAGGAAGAATTCAGGGAGGCTTTACTTAGTCCAGCATCCATCAGGATGTCAGGTTGGGATGAAGATGTTGTCGTCAAAGACGGTGTTTCCAAACTGTGGCAGCTAGAAAACTGGGGAGATGGAGAATGTCCAGCTTCCTGGATGTCTGCAGGAGCTGATGTGGCCAAAGGTGATACCAAGCAATCCCCCAATCTCTGGGTTCTCTTGCATTCTTTGTTGATCTGATTTTCTTTAAGAGTTAAAATGTTCTTCTGGTTCCCACCATTTGCCATTCCTAATGAAACGAAAGATAATTCCACTAAAAAAATTGTCCTGAGTAGGATTTTGTTGTGTTTTCTGAGACTAGTATCAGCTGCTATTACTACTGGGTATAGGAGTCCTAGACTCTTGAAATAACTTCATGGCTAATAGTCCTGTTTTCAGTCTTGCTTTTCTCTGCTGAATGCTCTAAAACTTCCTTCATATATTCCTCTACTCAAACACGTGGGTGCTCCCAGTGACCTACATCTACCTAATATGTCAAGTGTAGTTTACAGTTAGACCATGGCCAACTTCTCCAACTCAGTTTTTGTTACATGCTTTTTAACACAAGGCAAAATAGTTTTTCTTTTTTCATTTTAAACTTTTTATTTACTATGGTTCCTACTGAACAATGATCCTGCCACTAGCTAACACAAATCCAAATATTACCCTTAAGGAAATATTCTCGGCAGATATTTTGTAAGGTCATAAAATCATTATCAAACTCTAAAATTTTCTGGTAATAATAAAAATAAACGTAGCTTTTCCACAATTCAGACATTTCATGGGAAAGCCAATGAAGATATTGTATTACGATGCTAAATCAACCAGTTACAAACTGAAAAACTAGCATCTAGCTAGTCCATTTCATTAAGTGTAGGATGGATCCTGTTCTCCCTTAAGGATGAATGAAACAGATTCCCAGTCTACACAAATTATATCAAGATACAGTTTTAAAAAGCAGAATGGTAGGTTTATTTTTGTCCTCTCCTATTAAGTTACACTGTTCTGTGAGAACATTTGCTTTTTCTTAGAATTCAACAATATATAAAATACATAAGATTTTGTAACTGAGGAAAGTTGATTTTGGGGTTATACATAAATTAAAAGTGTAAGTTTTATGTGGAGGGGGAATAGTGCACATTCTGTTTATATAGGACAATCCTGAGTAACACGCAAGAGTGGGCCCACCCCCTCTCCACCTGGCTCTGTATGCTCAAGCCTGCTCTGAGCTCTCACGTATGCCCCTCCTCACTGCTCTGTTGGTAAATACAAATATTTAAAATTAGACGGAGCAGAACAGAACCAGCAAAGCACATATATAAAAAGCATGTATAATATATTCCTTTTCCAGAGCAACATCTACAGTTCATAAATGTTCAACATGGAGAAATGAACACACTTGTTCTGCTCCTCAGATAATGAAATATTCCCAGGCAGGTCACCATACCTGGTTGCAAGGTGACAAAGGATGCAATACTGGTCTGCCGAGTGCTTCTTCTTTGAGTAAAAGAAATATCACATTTTCTCTCTCCAGGAAGCAATGTCAGCATTTTGGTGCCTGGTTTGATTAAATGTGTCTGAGGGAGAAAAATAATTGAACCTATTACTATACCAGTGATTCATATTAGTTCACCCTGTTCTCTAGGTAGTTTGTACTGGACATCACCTCCCACTACTTCCTGCCATCTTGAGGATACTGACCTCGGGAATCACATATTCCAAGTGGCCCTGTCTTTCCAATTTCCAACAGTTATCAATAAAGCTAACCAAAGAGAAAACCTTAAGAACTGATAAATACTTTCAGCAAGGCGGCAAGATATATTAGCATACATTATCTGTAGCCTTCCTATATACCAATAACAAGCATGTCAAGGAAGAAAGCATATCCAAAATTACCTCAGGAAAGAATACCTTGGCATAAACTTAACTAAATAATTGAAAGATCTCTATAATTATAATGGAAACTTCAATAAAACACTCAGAGAAAAGATCTTCCATGCTCATGACTTCCAAGAACTGATACTGTGAAAATGGCTATCTTACCTTGGTCATTAATACTGTCCATTTGACAAGCGTTAAAACAGCCTAGGAGGCAAGCTTCTGGGGCGCACTGGGAAGGAATTACCTAGATTAGGTTCGCTTCTGGCCATGCAGAATTATTTTAAATTAACTGAGGTGGGAAGACTCACTCTTAAATAGGCAGTGCCATGCAGAAAAAGGAGAAAGCTTGCTGAGCCACCAGCAGTCATTCTCTGCTACTAACTGCAGGTGCAAGGCGACCAAATGTCCACCACAAGGTACTATCCCCTCCAACGTGAGCGAAAATTAACCCACAGGAAACTTAACCAATCTACAGATCCCATGCTACCCCCATCAAAACACCAACATTGTTCTTCACAGAATAGAAGAAAACCTTAAAATTCATTTGGAAGCACGAAAGACTCTGGATAGCCAAAGCAATCCTGAGTAAAAAGAATGCAGAGATCTTGCCACACCCGATTCCAAGTTAAGGTTCAGAGCTATAGTAATAAACAGCACGGCACTTGCACAAAAACACACATGTAGATCAATAGACGAGAATAAAATACCTAACATTAACACAAGCAGCTACAGTCATGATATATATAATACACATACACATATATAGATAGATAGATGGTCAAAAAATACTAACTGGAGTCTCTAACAGAAGGTGCTGGGGAAAGCTGAACAATGAAACTAGGCCCATCTCTCTCAACACAAGCCAACTTCAAAGTGCTCAAAGACCTTAATGTAAGAACTGGAACTGCTAAGGGAAAAAGTAGATAAAATACACTTTTTCTGAGTATAACTCCAGTTGTTCAAATATAGAACCAATTAACAAATAGAACCTCCTGAAATTAAAAAGCTTCTTTATAGTAAAGAAAACAGTTAATTGAAAGAAGAGACGATCTACAGAAAAGGAGAAAAATTTTGTGATATATATATGACAGTATTAATATCTATAATATATTAAGAGCAACAACTAAACAACAAGAAAATAAACCCAATCAAGAAATATACACTAAGGAGAGGCTATAGACATGGCTTGGCAGTTAAGAGCACATATTGCTCTTGCAGAGGACTGGAATTTGATTTCCAGTACCCACATCAGGCAGCTCACAACAGCCTATAACTCCAGCTCCAGGAAATCTGACACTCTCTAGCTTCTGTGGGTATCTGCATTCACAAGCATATATCCGCACATAGACACACCTTTAAACAGAGGCAGGAGGATTTCTATGAGTGCGAGGTCAGAGTAGTCTACAGAGCAAGTTCTAGGGCAGTCAGGACTACACAAAAAGACGCTACCTTAAAAATAAATAAATAAATAAAATGTGTGAAGGAACTGTGAGTAGTTCTCAAATGAATATAAAAATAATGTCTTTAGTGGTTAGAGAAATGCAAATTAAAACTACTCTGATGCTGGGCGGTGGTGGTGCGCTCCTTTAATCTCAGCACTCAAGAGGCAGAGCCAACCAGATTTGAGTTCAAGGCCAGTCTGGTCTACAGAATGAATTCCAAGACAGTCAGGACTACACAGAGAAATCTTGTCTCAAAATAAACGACTCTGATATTCCATCTAACCCTTTTCAGCTATCAAGAACATAAATAAGGGGCTTATCTTAGTTAAGTTTCTATTACTGCAATGAAATACCATGACCAAAAAAAGTTGGGGAGAAATGAGTTCATGGCTTATACTTCCACATTGTTGTTCATCACCAAAATCAGTAAGAACACGAAGTCAAGCAGGGCAGGAACCTGGAGACAGGATCTGATACAGAGGCCATGGAGGAGTGCTGATTACTGTCTTGCTCTACATGGCTTGCTGAGCCTGCTTTCTTATAGAACCCAGAACCATCAGCCCAGCGATGTTACTACCCACAATGGACTGGGTCCTGCCCTCAACAATCGCTAATTAAGAAAATACACCTTACAGCTCGATCTTACGGAGGCAGTTTTTCAGTTGAGGCTCCTTCTTCTCTGTTGACTTTAGCTTGTGTCAAGTTCACATAAAACCAGCCAGTACAGGGCTGGAGAGATGGCTCAATGACTAAGAGCATTGGCTACTACTCTTCCAGAGGACCCAGGTTCAATTCCCAGCATCAATATTCCTGGCAGCTAACAATGGTCTAGAACTCCAGTTCCAGGAGATCTGGTTCCCTCTTCTTGTTTGAGGGCCCCAGGCATGCACCCAGTACACAGTTGCATGTGTAGGCAAAACACCCATACTCATAAAATAAAACTTAAAGGGAAAAAAATGACAACAAATGTGGGTAAAAGGGAACCCTTATTTACTGATGGTGGGCATGTAACATAATGCAGCCACAGTGGAAATCCTCAAAAAAATTCAGAACCAGAACTAGCATGTGACCCACCTCTTCCACTCCTGGGCATATGCCCCGAGGTTATAACCTACTGCAGTGATATTTGCTCATCCATGTTTATTGCTGCTCAATTCCCAACACCAAAGAGACGTTATCAACCCAGAGGTCCATCAACAGGTGAGAACGGGTAATGAAAATGTGGTATACATACATAATAGAATTATTCAACCTTAAAAAAATTATGCAATTTTCAAGAAAATGGATAGAACTGGGAAACTTACATTGTGAGGCAACAAAGCCTCAGAAATACAAATACAGCTTGTGCTCTCATGAAGGCAGACTTAAGTTCTAATTTGTACAAATTCACACCAGTGTGGGGGGTGAGAGAGTGTAAATTCCAGGAAACTAGAAAAGGATGAGAGGAGAAAACACAAGCTAAGAAGCAGTGAGGGTGATAAAATGTGTATTGTGGTGAAAATACTGAGGGCAGAAGGGTTGGCCCAGGAAAGAGATGTAGTAATGAAGGTGGCACCAGGAAATAGACTACCTGCTGCTTTGCATACTAAAAAAAATAGTAGTAAAATACAAGCCATGAAATAGCACCAACGCTGCACGGCAGACTTCCCTAGCTTTCTGTTTGGAAGCCCTTTCCAGGTCAATGTGTGCCTACGCTGAGCACTGCGGTCTTCGCGAGCTAAGTCAACATGAGATTGGGACTTGGGGAAGCTGAGGTTGGACCTGCAGTTCAGAGATGACTTTCAGACATCTACAGAGATCCCTTCAGTCTCTGCTCAGGCTACACTTGTATTTGGGAAACAGCCAGTTCAAACTGCAGGCTGAATGATTCCCAGAGCTCACACAACCCAGGGAAAACAGTCACGAGTTTCCATGTCATATGTTCTCTGCTAATGTGACCATCCTATTCTTACATGAAAGAGGTCCTTATTGCTTCACCTTGAATATGGGGGAAATTCCAAACTTCTGCCTTGCTCCCTGGAGATGCTCACTCCTGGAACCTAGCCAACACATTTGAAGACGCCCACACTGGCATATGGGTCTTCCGTTTTATAGGAACACACACATCTTAAATATGTGAAATATTGTGAATGATATTTGAGTGTCTACATGCAAAATGCTGAAATGAAAACAAAACAGACTCTGCCCTGGAAAAGTTTGGAGCTTTGAAGATAAAACAAGCTATTAATAAATAGTTAGTACATATATGCTAAATCCTATAAAGAAAACAACAAGTCAGAAAATTGTAAGCCCTCAATTGGCAAGACATCTGAGAATAAAGCTTTTTACAGCCAGGCTCGGTAGCACAAGCCTTCAAGTTCAGCACTCAGCAGGCAGAAGCAGGCAAGGCCAGCCTAGTCCACATAGTGAGTTCCAGGCCAGCCAGGGCTACATAGTGTAATAAATAGCTACATATAAACAAACAAAGTGTTTTGCTAGGTTGGTCATTAGTTACTTTTCTAATGGCTGTGCTAAAACATCATGTCAAGGCAGGTTATAGGAATTTTATTTACAATTCCAGGAGGTTAAGGGTCTGTCATGGCCAAGTGTGGCAGCAGCGTGGCAGCTGGAAGGATCCCTTCCTAGCTGAGGGATCACATCTTGAACTGCAAGCATGAGGCAGAGAGCACAAGCTAGAAATGACACACGTCCTTAAATTCTCAAAGCTTGCCTACACGGACACACTTCCTCTAAGAAGGCCACAGCTCCTAAGCCTTCCAAAACAGTACCAACCTAGGACCAAGTATTCAAATGGCCAAGACTATGGGAATATCTCATCTAAATCACGGGTCATCTTTGGTAGGCACTAAAGGAAATTCAAAGTGCTGGCAGATGATGACACTGTCTGTCAGCTAGCTGTCTTAGAATACCTATGGCCTTGGGGGGGGGGGCAACTGAGCACTCTCAGTTCTGAGAACAGAGAGCGACTCAGGTACAAAGTCCTTGGCTGATTCTAGTATCTGAACATAGAGACAGCCTCTATATGTACTCTGTACTGCTGAAGAAAGCCCGCCTATGAGCCAGGCTTGGTGGTACGTGCCTGTAATTCCAGAACTTGGGAGGTAGAGACAGAAGGATCATTAGTTCAAGACCATTCTCTGCAATGCAGCAAGTAAGTTGGAGGTCTGTCAGCATGGAATGTGTGTGTGTGTTGGTTTTATTCTTTGATGAGTATGGGTGTGCGTGACTATAATCCCAAGGCAGGACAGAGGACTCATGGGGGTCAATGCCTTTTACACAGTCCAGGACATTATTCAAACAAGTTTTCCTTGGAGAGTTTCAACTGGTGGGCTTAAAGCAAGCAGATGCGAGTTCTAGAAGGTGGTATGGTTAGTACCATCAGTGTCAGGTAGGGAAGATCAGCAAAGCCCGTCAGACAGGCCACATCTAGCTGTCCCTCAGGGAACTGGTCACCAGCACAGAGCTGTATAGGGCAGGAAACTGGATCTACGGCACTGAGGAACTCAGAGGTCCCAGGTTAGAGTACAAGCTTGAGAACTTACAGTCAATGGCCTCCACTGCCGGCATGAGAAAATGTAACTTCTAATTAAAATGGATGCCAGGATGATATAAAGCATGAGACTTGATTACAGTCTTGCATTTGCCAAGCTATAGGTGAAGCTCCCACAAGTGCTGCCATCTTGGACTCTGACACTGTTAATTCAATGAGATAAGCTTTTCCTCTCTAATAGGAAGCAATGAGGTAGTGTCAGAAAGGGGGAGTGTTAACCACTCCCACAACCACGTTCCTGGAGCTCTCCAGATGATTTCTACCCGCAAAAGCTCAAAGTCATCCCACTCGTTCCGCAGAGTGAAAGAGTAAGACACTAGAACAGGGGCAGAGAACGCAGAGCTGGAACAAGGTGTTCATTCACTCAGCAGATAACCGTTTGGAAGACCACCTGCTGGACTTTCATGCCGATGGAGAGAAATGCACCAAAGGACAGGTTAAATATGTAGCATATTTACGTCTGACGAACAGTGCTATGGTGAAAAATAAAGACAGTGAGGGAGTATGTGGTTTCGGCACCAAGGCTCCTACTTTATGGGGGCTAAGAACAACTCACTGATCTGAGCACACACAGAACAGAGCAATGGAACCCTCTAATCCCTCCACACGGGCAGAGAAGTGCAAAGGTACCCGGAGAACGGCTGGAGCAGACAGGATGAGGCAGAGACACGGACCGGATGAAAGCTGAATGGCGTGAGAGCACACACACTGAAACAGTGCTGGAGGGACTGAAAGGAGCGTCTGGTTGTTATGGGCGGTGGAGTAAATTAAACCAAGCAAATGGTCATTCTGGCGCACGTGAGAGATAGGGTAAGAAATATGACTATAAACTAGGCATTGGGGCATCTTCTCATAATCCCACTATGTGGGAAGCTGAGGCTGGAGGATTTTGAGTTTGAGAACATAGTGGGACCTTTTCTGAAAGGAGGGGGGGACAGAACTGAGGATATAGTAGGTGGTAGAGAGAGTCTCAGACACAGTGAGGCCCTATGTTCAATTCAAGGACAAAATGATAGGATGGGAGGAGGAGGACGGGAGGAAAGAACTCTAACTCCACCTGACAGCCCAGCAGAGAATGTGCTGACTGTATGAATGCTAATGAAGCTGCTCAGATCAGGGCGGCAGTCAGTGCTCCACTGCACTGGCCTAGAAACTGATGGCGACTCAGCAGAAATGGTATGCTCACAATTCCATTTTTCCTGATCATGTCCTTTAATTATAATGACATTTAGATGTAACACAATGGAGCCAAACAAATATATCATCTTAAATTTGCGTTGTCTCTCTAACGTGTAGGAAAAACCCTTTTCCCTAAGGCTCACTAGGGTGTGTTCACATGTACACAGTGGATCATACATACACACACATGTATACAAAGTTCAAATGACAAAAAAGGCTGGGAAAGCAGCTTAGTGGCAGAGCACTTGCCTGGCATGTGAGAGGCCCTAGATTCAATCCCTAGTGCTGCCGGCAAGGAGGCAGTGGATATTTTTCAATGTTTTTACATAGAAGAAGCACAGTTAAATATAAAACTTAGAAGTTACATAAATTAGCCTTTTGAGGTATCATATTGTCATAACTTGTAGGTCTTACGTGGAAAGCTCTCTGT